AGTGATAGCACATATAGCGACTGAAGAGTGGGTGTGGGTGACCGCCTGGAGTTTCTCGCCCTTCCCCTCACCTTCCTAGCCGTCCGCTCACTGAGGAGTGTGTGATGGGTGACACAGAGAGGTGTTCACCCGTCAAACTCCTTTACCAGGTAGCCAGCCAGCCAGCCACGTGCTCTCCGACAGGAGCATGGGACGCAGCTGTGACACGTGTCGTAGTTTGATGACCCTCAAGTCTGATGCCTAAGGTATGTTCAGCGCATAACATCCATGTGAGACATACTCTGGTGTATGTTATACTCACGATCTCACCCTACATATCTCTAGGTTCGTATATATGTAACTAGCGTGGCTGGCTGGGGTAGTTGTCCCACAAGAAGCTCCAAAGTTATTAAATATTAATTATGTTTGGCGTATGACATTTTTTCCCCTCGCCATAGTGGGAGTCAGGGAGGTTTAAGATTAAGTAAAGATAGTCTAGCATTAATCATAGATTTCTTGTTATATAATTGTGTCTAATCTAATATATATGCTTGACTAGAATCGGTTCGCTTAATACCAACCCTCGTGGAACTAGAAGAACTAGTTCTAGTATACTAGTATTGAAAAGTATAGTGTAAAACCTATCACTGGCCTAGTATAAGCAATCTTAGCATACATTAGGTTAGGCCTATCATTGCTAGCACATTATGCTCAATGTCTTTTTGGCCTCATATTATCTTTACTCTATTCTCCTTATTTTACACTTGGTGGAGTTGATCTCTTGTATCCACGTGTCTTGCCCTAATCCTGCGACTCTTTAGGTCCTGTCGTAGCCTGAAACATCCCTTCATCCTTGCCATTAGATTTGCATCTGCAAACACTTGATATGTTACAGATGTAAATATATAGAATAATCTTGAGTTTAAATTCAAGAAGGAGCTGTGAAAACACTGGTTAGGAAACAGGGTTGTTGATTTATGAAAGCCATTACCGGGTAACATATTAGACGTGGGATAGCTGGAGCCATGGAGGAGATAGGTGGAGGTGGGGTCCCTCGATTGTTTCAAGCGCGGGTTGGACAAGTATATGAGTGGGATTGGGTGGTTATAGATAGGAGCTGCCTCGTATGGGCCAAAAGGCCTTCTGCAGTTACCTTTGTTCTTATGTTCATTCAAGTGTAGGGTAGACATGTATGAGTTAGGGTGGATATAAATAGGAGTGCTTCGTATGGGCCAATAGGTCATCTGCAGTTTCATGTATTCTTTTACCTGGTTGATACCTGGTTGATGGGGTTCTGAGAGTTCTTCTATTCCCTAAGCCCGGCCCGAGGTCAGGCTTGACTTGTGAGAGTTTGGTCCACCAGGCTGTTGCTTGGAGCGGCCCGCAGGCCCACATACCCACCACACACAGCTTTTGTTCTCATACTTTTATTTCATCCCTCCACTCTGACAGTTCCTATCTCTGTGGATGTTTCCTGTGTCAAGTACATTTATCCAGTCAAGCGCCTTTGCAACATTTTATAGCACAGACTGCAGAGCCCCCCAAAACATTTTTTTTTCTGGAAGACAGTGCAAAGTTTTTTTTTAGTAGACTAGTTTTGCATATCGAGGGTTGGCCTTCAGCTCTTGTATCCCGCCTGGCAAATCTTCAATCGACGGGTGTACAGACACCCAACCACTTCAAGCTCTCTTTTATTTACACTTGATGTTGTGGAGTCACTCCATCACTTCCTCACTCACTGTGTGTACGTGTGTGTGTGTACGTGTGTGTGTGTGTGTGTGTGTGTGTGTGTGTGTGTGTGTGTGTGTGTGTGTGTGTGTGTGTGTGTGTGTGTGTGTGTACGTGCACGCATCCAACATTGCACGTTTTGTGTGTCCTACCTCTAAAGATAAGAGGCATAACTAGCAGACTTCTCACCGTGTTTACAAGAGCACTTGATCAACACTTCCAAAGGATACCTGATCAACCGAGCTGTGACTCATACGCCGGACTACACGCAGCTGCGACCAACAGCCTGGTTGACCAGACTACCGACCAAGAGGCCCAGTCTGAGACCGGGTCGCGAGGACATTGCACCCCTAGAACCAGCACAAGGTAAATACAAGGTAAGATCGGGAACAGTAAGAGAAATGAAGCCAAGAACAAACCTCAAAAATGCAACCCAATTAATACGTAAGTACACAGAGAACTTAAAATCTTAAGAGCTATAAAAAAAACATTAAAGAGAACAGGCAAGAGAATTGAACCAACTAAAAATAGCAGAGCTACCAAGGTTAGTAATGGGATGGGGGAGGGAGGAGGAGGCGAGACAGGTAGGAGTTTAAGTTCAAGAGTTAAAGCTGCCTGTTAGCAGGTTAGGTGGGCAGCCCAGAGTTTAGCGACGCTTAAAACCACCACACCGTTATATCTCCACTTGCCACCACCTGTACCCCCCAGATGAGCACCGCTCCTGTGCCAGGTAAGTCCACTACGGGCTCACCATAGCCCGTCCCATTTGGTCACCATTTGGTCCGGGAGACATCCCCCGTCACGCAGGGTGCAGTTGCGCCTCCACAGATCTCCAGTATCATCTTTTGATACTGGTAATGGCTCGAAAGGGCCACCACTTACGGGCTATTCATGCCCGTGCCACCTCTTGGGTGGCTTAATCTTCATCAATCACCATAGCCGGTGATACTAAGAACTTGTTCCGAGTAGCTGAATCTATAACAACAACAACCACCTGTACCCTCTGTAGGCTGCTGGCCCCCACTCTCACTGGCCCCCCTCCGGTACTCCATGCACAGGTTGGGAATCTAGTCAGCCTCAACTTCACAGGCTGGGAGGCTCATGTGGTCATGGGACGCTGGCTCGTGGCTCCTCTAACTCCAGTGGAAGCTCATCTCCCACACAGCCAGCTCCAACACACGAATTTCATTGAAAATTAGGTGTTCAGAACATTTAAACTTCTTAAATTGCTAGCTAAAGGAACCTTGTTGCTTCTTGTAGTCAGTTCCTATACACGTGTGTAATTTTGTTGGGTAAACAGATATGATGAAATCAAAATCAAGTGTCATTTATAAAAAAATTAAAAAAAAAAAAAAACTTGTACTGAATAATTCTTGGAAATGTCAACACTAATTCTTCTTTTGGAGTTGTATATATATATATATATATATATATATATATATATATATATATATATATATATATATATATGTCGTACCTAATAGCCAGAACGCACTTCTCAGCCTACTATTCAAGGCCTGATTTGCCTAATAAGCCAAGTTTTCATGAATTAATGTTTTTTCGTCTACCTAACCTACCTAACCTAACCTAACCTAGCTTTTTTTGGCTACCTAACCTAACCTTACCTATAAATATAGGTTAGGTTAGGTTAGGTAGGGTTGGTTAGGTTCGGTCATATATCTACGTTAATTTTACCTCCAATAAAAAAAAATTGACCTCATACATAGAGAAAAGGGTTGGTTTATCATTTCATAAGAAAAAAATTATAGTAATTATATTATAACAGGAAAACTTGGCTTATTAGGCAAATCGGGCCTTGAATAGTAGGCTGAGAAGTGAGTTCTGGCTACTAGGTACGACATATATATATATATATATATATATATATATATATATATATATATAGTGTCTGTGACCTGTGACCGGGAGCCTGTCGGCCGAGCAGACAGCATACTGGGCTTGTGATCCTGTGGTCCCGAATTCGATCCCGAGCGCCGGCGAGAAACAATGGGCAGAGTTTCTTTCACCCTATGCCCCTGTTACCTAGCAGTTAAATAGGTACCTGGGTGTTAGTCAGCTGTCACGGGCTGCTTCCTGGGGGTGGAGGCCTGGTTGAGGACCGGGCCGCGGGGACACTAAAGCCCCGAAATCATCTCTAGATACCTGTCCTTGTAACGTCCGCGCTTAGAGGATGATTACTGTTGTCCTTGTAGCCTCCCTCTCTCTCTCGCTCCCACAAATTGATACCACATAATCGCCCACAACAATACATGGTGGTGAGAGCAGTCACTACACACGAGGCGAACAACACAGCCACGCCGCCCTGCAGCCAACACCAACCATACTCAACAATGCCAACTCGTAAGAACATAGGAATGAAGGTAACTGCAGACGGCCTATTGGCCCATACGAGGCAGCTCCTGTTTATATCCACTCAAACTCATTCCTATATATGTCTAACCTACGCTTGAAACAATCAGGGGATCCTACTTCTATTATGTTAGGCCTACAACATCTAAGAGAATCAACGGAGGGTCAACAACAGTGTTACAACTCGAACAAGAAGTGATGACATAATTTCTTATAAAAGGGGCCCACGGTAGTACAGTCGGGTTCCTTCTCGACTCACAAAATAAGAAATCCCGGTTCGAATCCCGAGCAGGACATAAATGTTCGGGAGCACTTCCTATCACCTAATGGACCCCGTTCACCTAGCAATAAGTAGATAAGTAGATACAATAAGTAGTAGGAGTTTAGTCAGCTTCTTGTAGGGTTGCATCCGGGGGGGGGGGGGGGAGGAGGGTTTAATAATTCGCCCCTGGAGAGGGGGGCGGGGCTCGATATAAGATTAACGTGTATTAATACACTCTGGCTGCCTGTCCCCCAACACAATGAATTATCATATTATTAATGATATACCAGGAGTGGGTTGAGGGAGATGTTCTCACCCAGCCCAGTAACCTGACCAAGCTATAACACACACACGTCCTGTCACTACCTGCACCTTAAACTCATACCTTTTAGGAGTTTAGATACGAGTCTGTGATGTAAAGTCATTAATATCTTCAATATATATTCGCACGATTTATCATCTTTGGAATATGCTCAACAAATCAGTACTTAATAGTAATCTCTGTAATAGCTAGTACACCAGTCAAGTCTTAATTCTCCCACAAAAGCGCCCTTCACTATCACTTAATGCCTGAGGTAAAGTCAGAAGACAATCGCTAGACAAACATTCCCACCTTCTGATTGTTGGACACTTATCACCCTTGTATAAAAACTAACATTACCTGACATGACAATCACAAGGTCGGGAGTATATTCATGGCTTGACTGACACTGAGAAACCTCTCCAGTTCCACAGCTTCCTCGATAAGCGGCAATTTTCCCGTTCACCCAGAGGATAACTTCACCGCGGCACTTGTCCTACTTCCCCCATTACAACACGTGGGAAGGATCTCCCTTTCCCCCTTGATAACACTGGGGGGTGGGTGGGGGGAGACAAGATCCCACCTTCACTCTCCACCGGAGTATCACCCTCAAGGGTTACATGCACCGATAACTATAATCAGGTATGTAAACCTATTTTCAGAAGTGACTGTAATCCCGAGGCACTAAAACGCTACATTACACTCCTGTGGAGAGACCGTCGCCGCCGCTATTCACTTCACATAAGCTTATACAAAGTCACTTTAAGTTGTGGCATTAGTGGAGAAGATCGCTGGTGTAGATGATGACGGGGTCGCGACGCTGATGACAGCAGAGGTGCGAGGCTCCCCCATAACATCAGGGACGTGTCTGGTCGTACACACATCTTGTACAGTACTCTCACGCTAAAACCCTCCCAACAAAACCCAGCCATCTGGGCGTCATCACTAAGTTTACTGTCTTGTCTTTATACCCCACACCACGCATCCCTCTTAGCTGCCGTCACCGCTCAAACCTGGTGATCCATCATACGATAGCCACATCACCGTTAATTGCTACTGTCATTTACCACAGGCAGTATGGATTGACAGGCGAGCGCGCGCGCGTACGTCCGACTTCCACACGAGCCAGTAACACACTGAGGCGACCCAGCAGGCTGCAGGCAGGGCCTGTGTGTGTGTGTGTGTGCGTCCCGACCATCGTGAGACGGGAGGAGACCGTGATGAAGTGGTTGTCTCACGGTAACCTGCATCATCTCCACACACCACACTGCTCATCACCTACCCCCACACTCCTCTCCCATCTCCTCACACCACACTGCACCTAACGTGTACTACAGTTTACATGCCATGCGTTAACACAGTTTCTGTGGTGAGGGAGTGCCAAGAAGCCAACCTCGACACTGGGGATTCTCCCAACTGTGACGTCACGGTCCAGAGCGTTGTACTTGTCACCACTGATGTTCACAACTGATCTGGTCGCCCCCTCTCACCACTGGGTATTTCGTCCCACTTCGTCCTCACCCTAGATTCATGTGCAGCATTCATTAGTAGCACTGGACATGGGGATAGGGTGAAAGCGGGCTACAGTAGACGTCTCGATGTGGGTGCTGACTGGCAACACGCTGGTAGCAGCCTCCCACACCCAGCACCTCCCCCTACACCCACATCAACCGCTGTCTCTTCCACCCACACCAACACCAGGCTGTTGACAGGAAGGTGGTGTGTGTTGTCCATCCCATCACCGCTCCGGCACTCAAGTGGGCGACGCTCCTCATGTGACTTGTGGCCCTTAAAAATACGGTAACTAGATGTGGTTCGATCGGGTGTGGGCGAGTGAGGACGGTATCCCCGGTTTCCTGTCACAAGCAAGTCTCTCTTCAATTTTGTTATAGATACATTTTTATAACTGCAGGTCTCTCCCCCTCCTCCTCTCTTCCTCATCTTCTCCTCTTCTCCTGCTTATGTCCCCGGTGTCTATTTCCTCCCTTCCTTTTCCTCTATCACCCAATCCCGCCCCCTCTTCTTTCTATCCCCCCTCCCCACTTTCTCCTCCTTCCTACCCTCTTTAAAAATGACTCTCTCGTCTCTTTATATCTCCCCTTCAATTATCGTTATAATCTTTTCTACTCTGTAGCCACCATCCCCTCTCATGTTTTCATTATTCTCTTTATATTCTTTATATCTATCCCCTCCTTCCTCTATATATCACCATCCCCTCTATTCCTCTCTGGCCTCCCCTTCACATGCCCGTCACTTCCCCTTCCTTGTCTCCTTTACAAACACAAATATTCACACACTACAAATAATGTTCACACATTAATCATAATGAATACAATGATTAGCATCAAATATATACTGTACACTATCATTGTAATAACTCTAAATTAACATCAATAGCCATTACAATGACTAGATCACAATAAGTGTAATACGTTTCGGTGGATATTAATGGCTGCTTCCTCGTATGGGTCAATAGGAGCTGCTTCGTATGGCTCGATGATCACCTTTATTCTTATGTAAGATCTTTTTTTTATTTGATGGAACTCCGTACAATCCTTTGAATGATTAACCCAATTTTTCATCATTAACAACAAGACGATACAAGCTTACCACACCAGCACAAGTAAGGCCAATCCTGGAGTATGTGGCCCCAGCATGGAGCTCGTACCTTGTCAAGCACAAGACGAAGCTGGAAAAGGTTCAGAGGTATGCCACTAGGCTAGTTCCAGAATTAAGAGGCATGAGTTATGAGGAAAGGCTACGTAACTGCACCTCACGTCGCTGGAAGATAGAAGAGCTCGGGGAGACATGATCACCACATACAAAATTCTCAGGGGAATTAACAGGGTAAACAAAGATGGATTATTTAACATGGGTGGTACACGCACAAAGGGACACAGGTGGAAGCTGAGCACGCAAATGAGCCGCAGAGACATTAGAAATAACTGGTTCAGTGTCACAGTAGTTAGTAATTGGAATGCACTATGAAGTGATGTGGTGAAGGGAGACTCCATACACAGTTTCAAATGTAGATATGATAGAACTCGAGCTCAAGAATCTGTACACAAGTAGATCGACGATTGAGAGGCGAGACCAAAGAACCAAAGCTCAACCACCGCAAGCACAACCAGGTGGGTGAGTACACACACACCTGTAATATAATAATAAGAGCGGCCTCAGCAAGAAATAGTAAAGCAGAGCGTGTGTGTATATTCAGAGTCTGACAGTAATCTGAGTTGGTCTCGGGCTCCAGGATGTTGTTGTTGTGACATTTGGCAGCAACACCGCTCCTCTTGTCTTATGTATGACCCTCTGTCCTGCGTGACAGTGAATACTAGCATTATCCTCAATTTAATAAGACTATCAAAATCCTCAGATTAGGCAAAATTGTAATTAATTTTGTCAATAAAGATGTTAATAATAATAATCCTCTCCGTCGCTCACTGGCAAGAATGTGGAGGGAAACAAGGATGGGAGGAGGGGTATCATGTCGCAGATGAGGGGAGTGAAGGGGCGGAGAAGGGCGGAGGGAAGGAAGGGAACCACATCACAAATACTACTACTACCAGGCTTCCGTTCCTCCCCCCCCCCCCCTCCGTCCCCTCACACGCTCGTCGAGTACTTTGTCCAACAGCTTAACAGACCAGAGTGACTCTTATGGTGATCTCCAAAGACTCAGCAGACACTTAAGGTGATCTGACTGAGAATCTCCCACTTGAAGGCTCGCTCCAGTGCAGCCAGGGATGGGAAGAGGTCTTTCCATGATCAGAGAATCTTGCTCCCATCACAATGCTGACTGGTCTTGTCTTGCCTTCGTGGCCGACCACCCACTCAACAACTTCATCAGCCACACAACCTTACATGCAACATCAACAACACACAACATCATATATGATATTCGTCATTCTGCGCTTATTGTTATTATCCCATAACAACGTCAAATACAACCATATATATCGCCATACACATCCAGCAAGGCAATATATTACCAAATTTGTACTTAAAAGCTCTAAAAATCTATATAATATTACCTGTGAAGTTGCAGTACGTGTTGGTTTTCATTCGTTTTAATATACTGCAAATGTTGGGAGTTTCAATTAGCAACAGCTATCGGTCCAACATGACGTACCTACTTCGTAACGTAGTATGGATATGACTGACCCGCGACGCGGTCTCTTGGTTGACTGTCTCTTGAACCAGTTTGTCAGTTACTGAGAGCAACAGCAGCAGCTGCTGCTCTAGCACTGCCTCGCCCCTGATGAATTCTAATGGACAAAATATCCCCCTCGGCCGTCCCAAGTCCATCACAGTTACAAAAGGTTCCGTCAGATTTAGGCGTTAAAGACTGAATATACGATTCACAATATTTCTTACGGAAATGCATCATAAACCTTAGTTGACGTAACGCAAGATAGCTCTGAATATATTGATAAAAGCCATGCAACGTGTTGGTGCAAGAATACCCACCACCAATACACCCATACACAAGCTCACACACAATAGCAGTAAAGTGTCAAACGTGTGTGGAAGCATCAGGGAGTGTGTATATATGAATGCTACACAGTATTCATCTATAGACATCCATATGTGGTGAAACACATGTGAAGAACCTCTCACACACTCACAGCTCCCTGACAAGAGGGAGCCAGCTTAGCTTAGCTGCCAACACCCACACATCGTGTCAGCAAGGCGGACAGCCCGCCCGCCTGCTTTCATACCTCTCACTGTATTTCCCACTTCTACACTTCCCTTCACCTATGCCTCTCCTTCCTCTTTACTCCCCATAAAAGTGTAAAAAAAAACACACAAGAACAGCAACCAAATTCATCTTGGCTTCGTCAACTATATATGAGGCTAGCCTAGTGACCGGAGAACGAGCTCCACTGAGACTTGAGCGCGGAGCCAGTAGAGTCTGGGACGTGAAGCCCAGGGTGACCGAGTCCAAAACTCAGGTTTCATAAAATACTACTGACGCTACTAGTTAATTATAGCCAGGCTCACTTGCCGCCATTTATAATTCGCTTTATCAGGGACAGAAAGCCTGTTGGAGCAAGTGAGGTGGTGGATGCCGACACCGTCAGTAGTTTCAAAGCGTTATATGACAGTGCTAGAAAGACGGGACACCACGAGCGTAGCTCTCGTCCTTTAACTACACTTAGGTAATTACACACACACTTTAGGCTTGTATCGAGGTTCCCCCCCCCCAAGATCGAACTACTGATCCTCCACAGGATTCAACACCACAACAGTTACCTAGCTCCCTGGTACCTAGTTACTGCTCGATGAACAGTGGCACTGAGTGAAAGGAAATATGCCCAACCATTTCTGTCCTGCCCGGGATCGCAGATTATGAGCAAAGAACGAAGCGCACTGTACTACGATACCATAGTTCGTATTACTCCCCAACCAAAACAAAAAATACTTGTGGCTTATAATGTGGTGCAGAGAGTGTGGTGCCAAGGAATGATGTCTGCCAGAGCTCGGCCACCCCTGGCAATATTATGACACGCACTCCAGGTCTGACCCTGACCGCGCCCCCAACTTCCCCCCTCCACCAACACAACCCCTACCCTTCCCCAACACAGCCCCTACCCTCCCCCCAACACAGCCCCTACCCTCCCCCAACACAGCCCCTACCCTCCCCCAACACAGCCCCAACCCTCCCCCAACAGAGCCCCAACCAGCATAAGCCACCCAAGCCATCCAGGGACACGATGCACACGTGTTCAGACAGTGGCGGGGTAATGCCACTGTTCCCATCACAGTGAAAGACAAGTAGGGGGATACTATAATGAGGGTCTTCCTGGTAGTCAGCTAGCTGGCTGGTGATGCAGTACACACGAATGAGACGCTTCCTCTGCAACATTGCATACAATGAGGAACACATTTCATTTTAACGAACTCGGCAACAGCACTGCCGTCGCTTCCTTCCCCAGAGTGGTCGGGGGCTGCCCGACCAGAGAATTGTTAAGCACCCCATTTCGTCAGAGAAGGGGGCGGAATGGGGTGCTTACCAGTCTAATTCCCAAGATCTAACAGTCACTTTCACAGACCGATAACGATAAGGAATATAACACATTAACAAGGCATTCGTGAATTAGTTGGGGGGGTTTCACTACCACCTGATTGGGATACATTTTTACTAA